TGCTTTGGCATGTTCCTAGCAGCGTTTTCCTTCATTTCTGCCTTTACGTGTGGACGGGATTATTTTTTAAAAATACCCGTGTACGTGTGGACATAGCCTGAGTCATTTGCTTTGCTGAAGGATTATGGGTGGACTTGTTCCCGCCCTGTAAACATCTCAGCTGGATTGTTGTGATCGTGTAGAAATGGTCACTGGGGAGGTCGCGGTGTAGTCACACCATGGACAGACAACAAAACAAGCAATTAGACATATAAAGGATTTGTGTGTCTGTGGATTATGGGAGGAAACTCAAACAGAAATCTGACCTGAAACCTGTAATTTGACATACTCTAGTTCAAATAACCGCGTCAGAGTGACAACAAAGCATTATGTGTGCTGCATTTGCAGTAAATGCTCTGACATAAGTGAGGCTACAATTTTCAAATGAGCGACAGAGTGAGCTGAGAAGCAAACAAGCAGGAAGGACCGCCGGGATACCAAGAGGTTGGGTTTTTTTTGCTTTTAGAGCAAATGCAAGAGTGAGACAGAGAGAAAAATGTCATAGATTGTGTTGATAGGTTCACATGACAGAAAGACAGAGAGGTGCAAGTACAGAAACAGAGAGAGAAGTGAGCTGAAAGAAACAAAACTGTGACAGCAACGCTGGTACTGGAAAGCAGCTCGCAGCCTTGATACTCTTAAGCCGTCGATGGTTTCAGGGCTTTGTCTTAGAGCCTTTAAAAGTCCGCCACAAGCCCTGGGAAATGATGGATGATGGGAAACATTATCCATATCTTTCATGCCCTTTGTGCAGCCGGGGCATGTCACATGGATTAGAGTGACTGGGAAGAAGATTTCTATTCCTGCAGAGCTCTGTACAGGCTGATTTCACCAAAGTGACAAGTTAGTGATCCTGCGTGTCCTGTTCTGCTCTCTGATCTCTTCTTCTCTCCTCTCCAGGTGCGACTATCCACAGCATCCTCCATCTTATTATTCAGAAATCAAAAGTAATCATAAGCTGTCATGCTGTTTTTATATCAGCCCAGCTTTTTTCTTTGTTGGAGGGGGTGGGGCATAAATTCTTCATGGTTGTATTAATGCCCATCTTGGCTGAAACACAAGTTTGGATGGCTGCACACTATAATGAGTCATCACTGAGAAGATTAGCTCAAACTTGGTGTTTTTGAAGCAAGGAGTGAAGCACCATAAAGACTGAATTCCCATTAAAAGTTTGAACTTCTATTATTAGTTGTATAAACTAGCGGTTGTGTTGTTATTGTGGATTTATTCTCTAAATGTTGATTTATTCTCTAACATCAAAAGGTTTTCAGGTATTTGATGTGGAGGATAATAATACGTGCATTTTCAGACTTAAAGCATTTGAGTTTGGTTGTGCTGTGAAAAAATATTTGCCATGATTCCTGATTTCTTCGTTTTTTGCATATTTGTCACATATGTTCCAGATAATCAAAATGTGTTTTATATTAGAAAAAAATATACCAGAGTAAATATAAAACACAATTTTCAAATAACTTGATTTATTTAGGGGGGAAAAATATCCAAACATGCCTGACCC